GGGAGGGGAGAGAGCACAATATGGAAATAGGAGCATGAACGTACTAATTTAAGGCTTGCTTAGTGTTTGGGCTTGTGTCCTATTGCTTCATGGCATCTTTCTTAATGCAGTTTTAAGGCCTTGGATCAGGTGCTGAAACGCTTTACTCATCTGTAAACTGGTAGGACTTTGAAGATCAAATTGATGCTACAGAACCTAGATTGGCTTAAGATGCTTAAGTAGCTTTATAGCTCTTAAAATGGCTTATGCCCTACCAAACTCACTTGGAGTGGGGAGAGGAGCCTGACTGTTGCTGCCTGATTGGGATCTACCTGGGAAAGATGTGGGTGGGGGAAGACCTGGCTGGAAGTGTTTACTCCAGCCACCATTACTGGAAGGCCTCCCATCAGTCTTGCCTCCCATCAGACTGCAGAAGGTGCAAATTCAAACCAGGTATAGGCTGAGCAGGCAGTTGAATCTTAACGATCAACCTTGAAATAAGATATTGAATCTCTTTGCTATGCCCCCAAAACAGCAAGTGACTCTTCCCCTTCTTTGGCAACAAACTCTTCCCCTCATCTTCCCCCATTCTCTTTTGCTTGCTGAATTAAGTGCTGGAGTCATGGTAGGCTTGCCAAAAGTATGGGCTGTGGTGCACAAGTCTGGCATCTCTGTGCTTAAACAGGACACAAACTCAGGACATCCGAGATGGTGAAGGTGCCTATGTAGCAGCAGAACTCTAATTTGATTAGGCACAGATCTTGTGGATTGGTTATTTAGGTAGCTTTATCCAAAGCATTGTTTGGATCTTGTCCTAGGGTAGCTTCTGCATTCCTCCAATCCTGAGGCATTTGTGGTAGCTTTTCCATTTTGAATTTAACTCATTGTATGAAATGCTACTGAATACATAGCTTAGTGTCTTCAAAGCCCAGAGATAGTATTCAGTACTTGAGCTGGGTTTGGTTTCTTTAGGGAAAGAGGTATGTAATTTTTTCATGTGTAAACAAATTATTGTTCTGCTAGACCTGAATGTGGGAAGAGCAGCTTCTCTGCAAGGCTACCATAACATCTTAACCTTGCTTAGCTACCAACAAGGTAGAAGTGCTTTAATACTATATTGCCTTACTTGCTGCTAGAGCCTTGGGCTACGGTGGAAGCTGCAGACCTGGGTAGCAGGTGGTATGCGAAGAAAGAACGATGTCTGAGACTAGGCAGGTAAATATCTGGTTAACAGTGTTTGCTCAAACTTAACAGCTTTTCTAGCTGTGCAGGAAGTTCCCTCCCTTATGATTCATGATGTGCACAATCTGGGACTGATGCTCAATGGTTACCTGGGAAAGCGTTAAGCACACTAACCTTAACAGAGGAGATTACAACATGATTAATGGTGGGAGTTGTGATGGCAATGCTTTGCTGAGGCTTGCTGAGCCTTCCTGAGCCACTTTGTGACATTCAGTTGTCAGTAAGTGGTTCAAGCATACTTGACAGAAGTTATATACCTTCATGCCAGTCTCTCAAACACCAGCTTCTAAAACAGCATAGATGACTTAAGTACCAACCTCTTCGTTATCCTGGGTTGTTAAGGGCAAATGGGTACTTGTTCTGGAACACCAAAATCTTCAGTTTTAATCTCTTGCATAGTGAGCAAAACCCCACTGCTACTTGTCTCTGGAGCAGGTGTGTCCTTAGGCTTCAAAAATCTCTTCAGGTACTGGCTTGCAGCTGATACCTGCAGTAACAACCAAGGTACACCTGTAATGATTGAATTTGCTGTGCAGGGCAAAGAACAAAGATACTTGAGCATGCACAATAACTACTCCAAGCCACATAAGAGAAGTCTAAACTCAAGCTTCAGCTCTAAAATGTATGTCTTGCACTGGGAAGGCAGGGTACATCTAGCAGGGTATGGTTCTACAGCCTCAGTTCCACCTTGAGTCAGCTGCATGTGCTCTGAATTACCATGAGGAGGAGGAAGGCTGTGCAGCAGGAGATTTTGGTCATGGGAGGACCCTTTAGAAAGGTCTTATAATGAGCCTGCGTTCATAGCGTAGAGAAATCTTGATTCCTGCCATTGCCTAGCTGTGCTCAGACTGCTGAGAGCTGCTAAACTTGTCAAAAAGCTTCATGCTGCAGAGCAATACCTTTCTTTTCGGTTCCATGTGGCTGCTGTCTGTCATCCCCATCCTGCTTTGTTTCCTTGGGGCCATCGCTTTAATTTGGAAAGTCCCTTGGAGAGACATTCATTCCTCCTCCAGATGCACCACACTAACAACTAGCAGGACCTATTTTCTTCAGACTGTCTTTAGGCAGCATGGGCACAGTGCTGCCTTGCTCTGCCCTGAATCCCTGGGTGTGCTAAGGAGCTACTGGGGAAGAAGCAGACAAACTGACTGTTATAGCTGGCAGGGGAGTACCTGACTTCCCTAAATTGGATGCATTAGGGATGACGGGTAGTCTAGAAGTTGTTGTACAGCTAGTTTGGAAGGCTGGACCGCAGTCCTTTCTCCTTACAGCTGAATTGGCTTGTACTTCAGGGTGAAGCCCATCAAACTTCCCTAGGTGATGAGGAAGAAGCTTGTTCAGTGAGACAGCTTCCTTCCTCACCAGGTAGGATTTGTAGCTGAGAATGAGCAAGGAGCAATGCTCCTGTAAACTGCAGGTAAGAGAGCAGGAGGCTGATGTGTAGGAGGCTTGTTTGGGAGGTGGTGTAGCAACCCAGCTGTGTGGCCACTATAAGATAGATTAATCGGAGCAAAGAGGGTAGTTTGAAGTGAGGAGTGCTTGCATGGTCTCTCTCTTGGCAATGATCTTAGGATAGTAATATTTCTAAAAACTAGAGAATTGTCTCAGGTGACTTCTGGGCTCATACTCAGGCTATGTGTAAGCAGGGGCAAAAGCAGAATTCAGCCTCTCATGAGGAAGCTCAGATTTGTAACACAGCAAACCTTCTCTGTAAGCCAAAGGTATGTTCTAGTGGTGGGCAATGTCCTGTACTTGTCCCTCTGACTACACTGAAGATGTGTTGGAGTGTTTGGCCCATACACACTTCTGTCTGTAGCGGTGACAGGCCAGGTCAGCAGTCTTAGACTGGCAATCTGTATGTCTCTAGGGACATGAAACCAACTTTTGCACAATAAAGATGCAGGAAGAGTACCAGATTTTTTTTTTTTAATAGATGGTGTGGGGTAAAACTGAACGCAGGGAGTTTCCTCTAAATTACAAGAACGTTAAGTGTTGACTCCAGTAAATGCCCTTGGCAAGGAAGTGGTATTCCTGATTGTTAGCAAGGATGAGCAGATCTTCATGGGGGTTCTTTTTCCTATAAGGGCTGCTTTCAGTTGTCATAGCCTGCTAGCATTGACTTGTGTTACATGGAATGATTTCCTGGGGTTGGAAGAAGTCCTAGGGGGTAGCCTCACCTTCATTCTCTCTTTCTGTGTCGGGAGAGTGATGGTAGAAAACACCCAGCTCTTCCAGCGTGCTACATCTGATAACTTGTCATTTTGCCTAATCCAGTTAGTGCAACTACTGCTGGAGCCATTTGCACAGAATGGAGTCGTCTGCTGAATTACACGAGGGAAGGCTGCAAAGCAGAATCAGTAGCTATTCATATTAGCATGCTTGGTTAATAGAGAGTGTATTATTACTGTAGCCGTGTTACAGTTCTCTGCTGCCTCTGGATGCTTTAACTAGAATCTGTGACCAGAGCTTTGACCTTTGTCAGGTGAACTTTGCAGTATTTCTGGCAGATGCCACAGCCACGTGTCAGAAATGCAGAGGGGCATTATATTTTCTTCTTTTCAGTGGGTTCGGAAAATAGCAGAGACCTGTGTTTCGGGGTCCGGCACTCTCATTGTTATGAGCCTGCAGGTAGTCTGCACCAGCAGCCAAAGTAGGTCTGCAGCCTAAAGGGGCTGCACTTTGATTAGCAGGAAGGTCTGTTCCTGCGCCCACTGACTGCAGTGGAAATGGGAAGTTAAAACTTGAGAAGTGGTACGCTTTCTTCTCGTGTCCCCAGGGAATACATTGCCCCAGCTTGACTTGGATATGCTGCAAGGCTCCTTCACTTCTTCAGCTTCAAGTGGAGGGTGGTGTAATGTCACTGATCGGCTCTGTCTTAAAGCATCGCTCTTACGGTGGAGGAAAAGATTAACTTACATTTGATTATGCTTCCTCTGTGTGCAGGCTGCAGTGAAGAGCCCAGGTGAATGTGTAGGGTTGGGAGGACAATCGTTGCTCAGCTGCAAAGGTGATCTACACTGCTAGTAAGCTTGTTTTTTCAGTGAAAGAAGCTGACCTTGGAAGAAAACAAAATGTAGTGAAGCACTGCAAAACTGTGCTGAGTGCCTCTGAGGAAAGAAGCACTTCTGCTTCCCAGGGCTAAATCTTACACCCCCACCATGAAGTCAGGTGGCTTATGTAAGTTGATCTTTCTTTATGGTATACGTGTCAAAACATAAATACGTTTCACTAGGACAATGCATTCCAGTGTTACCGGTTCCTGGCATAACTGGCTGCTCTAAATGACACTAGCCGAAGCACCAAGGACGTAGGGCAGTGCACTTCGTTAATATTTAAAAAAAAAATAAAAAACCAAACCCAACAACAAAAAAAAAAATCCCAAAACCCACCCAAACCCCTCATACCCAGATATGTTTAGCCTCGTGGACAAAAATCATAATGAACATTAGCGCATTCATTAAAAAACCTAGGTGGTGTTTATAATGTAGCCTTCAGAGATGAGTGCCGCTCTCTTTTCTATTCTGAGCTCGCACTACGGTGTGATACCTGGGCAGCCGAGACTGGGTTCTGGCTGCTGGTTATTACAGTGGTGGAAGCAGCTGGAGAAATAGTTAGGCACGCAGAATTTTCCATTAATCAGAAGAAAAAGTCCTACACAGATGGTATATAGGATAGATTACGGCTAGTAATCCTTTTGTGTCCTAGAAGATTAAGGATATCCTAGTGTAGCTGCAGTCAGCTGACCTTTTTTTATTTAAATGATTGAAAATTCTTGATGCAGTTCTGCAGAGGACCAAGGCTCTTCCAGAAGCCACGAACGGTGTGCTGTGAATGTTTGTTAAAGGAACGGTCTGTTTAAGTCCAGCCCCGATTATAAATTTACAGGAAGTTAAATTTGTGCCATGTAAACAGCAGCAGCTACAAGATGGCTAAGAAATCACTTGCTAGATGGATCTATCAAATCTAAGAGGCGTAAGAGAACTGAATTTTATGAGGAGGTATAGTGAGTGTCATGTGAAGAAACAGAGCATTTCTGAATCCTGCTGTCTGGGTCGCCCCAGAAAATGAAGATGAATGCTTTGGTGGAAGAAGAGGACAGCTGCACACTCTGAATTTTCTGGCATGGATCTGTATGAAGATTACAAATCGCCCTTCGATTTCAATGCTGGAGTGAACAGAAACTATCTTTACCTGTCGCCTAGCATAAACCTTTCTCCACCTGGATCACCTACATTAGCAAAGTCTGGTAACTTTCTTCTTCTTTTTCAAAACCTCCATGTGGAAAGCTTAGTGATTAAGATCTGTAAAAAGGAACTTCTCAAATTAAGAATCTGTAAAACTTGGCTGAAATGCAGGTGTAAATGAAGGTAAAAGAGTTGACCTGTTGTTAACTCCAGTAGTTTATTAGTTTGAGTGTTTGAGTGTGTCATGTAGGTAATATCTCATGTGCTATGCATTTACCAGCTTTACCTTATTTGTTATTTCTTAATTCAGTAGAAAAGCAGTTTGAGGGAAAACAAAGTGAGCAAAAAAAAAAATTAGGAACAAAAGGGCAAGGAGTGATTTGCCTAGTTTGACTATTAGCTTTTTTTGGGGGGGAGGTAGGAATTGCATACTTGCTATGACTTCAGAGCTCTGGATAGTCTAACAGCTGCTCTTGCCTTACCACTGAAAATACCACCAGTTAACAAAAATGCCCTCTAAAACCTTTACTCTGTTCCACCTAGCATTTAAAATACTGTTAATCTTACGCTTGCAGATACTAACTGTACTTGTGCTGACCTGAGGAGCGGCTGTTGCGTGCTGTGCTGCAGGAGCATCTGTCTGTCTAGTGCTTAAACCTGCTGGTTTCTAGCTGGTAACCTGTTGTACGGAACATCTACAGCCATGCCTCCCAACAGATCCTAGTCTGGTTTTACTACCTTTCCTTTCCATTCTGTGCTGCCGGATGTGATCTTCCAGAGTAACTAAACATAGAGAAAGCTTAGCCCTACTTCAGGTGTGACAAAGCAAAGTTCCAAAGGTGTTGACTTTTTTTTTTTGGTGGGCTTGCTCTTCAAAAATCTTAAAGAAACATGCATCCCTTGGGGAACCTCTGTGTGAACTAAAACCCCTCCGTGAACTCGATGAGCTAGGGGTCTCTGGGGAACAGTGGTCAGCTTTCACCTTTGCAATTACTGCATCTCCCACCTCTTCTAAAGGAGGGGGCAGGAGCAGTGCTTTGTATCTGGTGGTGATACATCACCAGAAAAAGAAGCCCAAAGGTTGATGTTTATTTCTCATTCACTTTGAATGAATATATGATTAGTGTTGGGGAGAAGCCCAAGAACTTTCTCCCTTGAGTTGAAGAAATATGTCTTGCTTTGGCTTTTTTACTGAGATAAATGGGAAGCACTTAAATTTGATCCTTCTTATATATTGCAAAATAAATATCCTCTGTAGCACTGTACATCACTGAAATGTTGGAGTGATCTTACAATTTTGTAACAGCTCGCTCTCCTGAACTCTAACAAGTGCCTTTTTTCTTTAGCTTTGCCAGCTATATAGTGATAGCCAAAATGCTCTTCTGAGTGTCTGACACAGAAAATGTCTGTCTAAAGATAAAAATAAAACTTCGTGAAGGCTAACCCTCCCTCACCCCAAAGGCTGCTCCCCTGAAATGACCAGTACTTCCTTAAACTGCTGATGTTTACTGCTAATCTCTGAATCCAGGCCAGAAAGAGGTAGGAACTTCTGGTCAAAATAGAGCACAAACTTGGGTTGAAACCAACCAAAGCAAACCCCAAACCAGAAAACCTGTGTGTAAATTGCATGACTAATGCTTTGCCTACCCTGGCAGAATAATAGGGGCCTAAGTGCTGTTTCCCTGTACGTGATCTGTGCAGTCCTAATCAACTAACTTGTTCATGTCTTTATTTGGTTCATTTAAGTAGATCTAATAAACTGCTGGGATAATACATTAATCTTAGAAATACAAACACCTAAAAACTGACCTTAAAACTAGGTAAGTTTTCCCAATACTAGATAAGTTCCCAAATTTTTTTTCCCCAATGGAATTTTTACTCTTAAGAGTTTGAGAGATGTGAAATGCTCAGCTAAGCTTGTGTCTTGGGTTTGTGTGGCACGGTTTTGGGAGCAGGGGGGCTACAGGGGTGGATTCTGTGAGAACCTGCTAGAAGCTTCCTCTGTGTCTGATAGAGCCAATGCCAGCCGGCTCCAAGATGGCCCTGATGCTGGCCAAGGCTGAACCAATAAGCAGCAGTGGTAGCCCCTCTGTGATAACATATTTAAGAAGCCGGGGGGCAAACCCCAACAACAGGACACAAACTACTGCAGCTGGCGAGAGGAGCGAGAATATGTGAGAAGAGTGACTCTGCAGACACCAAGGTCAGTGAAGAAGGAGGGGGAGGAGGTGCTCCAGGCACCAGAGCAGAGATTCCCCTGCAGCCCATGGTGAGGCAGGCTGTGCCCCTGCAGCCCATGGAGGTCCACGGTGGAGCAGATATCCACCTGCAGCCCGGGGAGGACCCCACGCCGGAGCAGATGGATGTGCCCAAAGGAGGCTGTGACCCCATGGGAAGCCCACGCTGGAGCAGGCTCCTGGCAGGACCTGTGGAGAGGGAGGAGCCCAGGCTGGAGCAGGTTTGCTGGCAGGACTTGTAACCCCATGGGGGACCCACGCTGGAGCAGTTTTTGAAGAACTGCAGCCTGTGGGAAGGACCCACGTTGGAGAAGTTCATGGAGGACTGTCTCCCATGGGAGGGACCCCACACTGGAGTAGGGGAAGGGTGTGAGGAGTCCTTCCCTGAGGAGGAAGGAGCGGCAGAGCCAATGTGTGATGAACTGACCACAACCCCCATTCCCTGTCCCCCTGTGCTGCTTGCGGGGAGGAGGTAGAGAAAATCGGGAGTGCAGTTGAGCCTGGGAAGAAGGGAGGGGTGGGGGGAAGGTGTTTTAAGATTTAGTTTTATTTCTCATTACCCTACTCAGTTTTGATTGGCATAAATTAAACTGATTTTCCCCAAGTCGAGTCTGTTTTGCCCATGATGGCAATTGGTGAGTGATCTCTCCATGTTGTTATCTTCACCCACGAGTGGGGTTTTTTTTTTGTTATATTTTCTCTCCCCTGTCCAGTTGAGAAGGGGAGTGATAGAGCGGCTTTGGTGGGCACTTGGCATCCAGCCAGGGTCCAACCACCACAGCTTGGTTATAGCAGTTGCAGTACCAAACAACTGAATTTTAAGTCCTTTGCAACTCTAAAGATGCAAGAGAACTAATGAAAGGTAACGAGTTGGAAGCCAAGAACTACAGTTCTGCTGGTGAATGGAGAAGACCACAATTGAGCAATGCTCTCAATAACAGACTGAGCAGAAGTATTTGCATCTGTTGGCTGACTGCTATTTCCCTGGTTTCTTGCCCTGCACCCCACAAAAATACCTAAGGTGGGCCGTGCACCTTTGCTTATGAAGCTTGCTCAAAGCCAGGATCTTACTGTCTGTCAGCTGTAGTTTATGGGGTATATTTGGGTTGTATCCATGCCCTTGTGGAGGTCTGTGGGTTGTTATCTGTGCAGACAACTGCGTCTTGGTCAGGCTGCCTAGCACAGCCTTCCCATAGCACAGATGAACCCTGTGTCCTGCAAGTATTGAAATGAACTGAGGAATGGGAGCAAAGCAAGGAGAGAGGTGAACAGTAAGAGGGAATGAGAGGGGAGGTGCCAGAATAAAGACTGATGGGAAGGTGTTTGCGTACTTCAGATGGAACTAAAGAAAAAGTAATAAATGGCAGGGGGGCTAAAACGTGAGGAGCAGAAGGCATGGTTAGATGTACAGGGTGTGAGTAGCAGTGATTTCCTGTCTTCCTAGAAGATTTAGAAATGGGAAGGGGAGGGGAGATCATTCCCTTGCTTCTTAGCATTGTGTCGTAAGTTCAATGTAGGCAACAAGCAGCACAAACTCCCTTAAAACGCTAGTTTTCCAAAGAGAAGGTACATTCCCCAAACGGAAGCTATTGCTGTTGGAGACAATCCAGCATGTTTTCCTACTGCTGGATTCACTTGATCTATTTTTGGTGAGATAATCCAGATGCCTCTTCATAACCAGATTGAACAGACTTTCAGCTGGATGTGCTAATGCTCTTGGAGTCAGCATGGTCTTTGGTACTTGCAAACTTTCTGAAATGGCTTTTGCAACGGCAAGCTCTGGGCCTGCAAATGGAGAACAAGGTCAGGAGTCAGAGGCCAATGCACTGGGGGCTGTAGAGTGTCAGCGGAAAATGCAGTTTAAATTGTGAGTTTTCCTTCAGTGTAGGCATATGTAATTAATAGGATAAATAGCAATTTGACAAAAAGGTATGGCATTCTTAACTGTTTGATATTAAGAAAAGGAAGTATAGAATCATAGAATGCTTTGGGTTGGAAGGGACCTTGAGAGATCATCGAGCCCAACCCCCCTGCAGTAAGCAGGGATTGAACCTGTGAACTTGGCGTTATTAGCACTGTGCTCTAACCGACTGAGCTAACCCGGCATATGTTGATGTATAAAACAAAAATTATCTGATTGAGACATGAGCTGTAATCGGGTTTTTTTTTTTTTTTGGTGCTGTAGTGCTGTGCTTTGGTTTGGGCATTAGACTTGAACTTTTTTTCTTCCAGAAAATAGTGTATTGGGAAACCTATAGGAACTACATTATATTTGTATAGAATATAGATGTAAATTTCTGGGAAAACGTGCTATAGATTTCATAAATAAATGCAGAATGGAATTTCAGGTGCTTTCTGTATGCTTCCTTCTCAGTGTACTCCGTGGTAACTTACCATTTACAAATGTTCTGCCCATGTAGCAGTGTGCTTCTAGAGGACAAGTGTTCTGGACACACATACAGGCAGAAAACATACTATTTTGGAAAGAATTTGTGGAATTGAGCTTTACCAGAGTTCAGTAACTTGATCAAGAACAAGGCTTCTTCTCTTAGGCTTGACAGCTGCTAGGAGCATCTTTCATAGAATACCTATGACTAATTACAGACTTGCAGAATCTTTTTTTCCACCTGACTTTTCAGTTGATTGTGGTGTAGCTATTTGATACCAGGCCTCACAACGAAATCATAGTGGTGGTCTCATTGCATATTAATGAGTTCTTGGATTCCCAGACCAAATGGTAGTATGGAGTGCCATCAGAAGCTGCTGAAATGAGGATGGAATTTTATCCGGTTAATTACTGTAGTGACTAGTAAGGGAACAGTACTTAATATGTCCTCAACTTGTCTGAATTACATATTTATATACACATACACACACACTCACCCTCTGTCCTTACAGACAAACAATCCTCCTGGTTTTTTTTTTTTCCTTCTATTTTAAGATTTTTCTTTCATTTCTTTTTTACTACCTATAAAGCTGTTTTATCTCTTGAACAGAGAATTAGTTCTGGGAATCCACAACCACTCCAACATGCAGTCTCTCTGCAAACTGCTCTCTCTGCAAATTAGAACAGGATTCCTTAATTCTGGCAAACTGTATGTTTAAGTGTCAGCTACAAAGATTCAAAATGGGAAATCTTTTGCTAGAAAATCTGTTTATTGCATTAAAAGGTGTTTTAAATTGATCTTAGTGCAAGCACTAAGGATGCAGAATAAATAAATCTGCATCATACTAATGTAAATAATATCATTCTCCTTCCTTTCCCTAAAGCTGTGAAGGCGAAAGTTGAGTAAGACGATAGGGATGTTTGGGATTCACACAGAGGAGTTTGGCAGAGTTTTGGTTTCTGGATTTGGAAGGGGAAGAGGCAGCAGTGTGAGTGGATGCACATCCTCATGAGTCCCTTCTCAGCGCTCCACCGCTTTGTCTGAAGTGATGGCCTTTTGTTCCCAAGCTTCTTCTCTGGGTTTCTCATCTGCCTTAATGTCCAGGTGCAAAACAGCAGCTTACTTCTAGTTCCACGCTATCTGCGACTTTCTAGCCATGGTAGTCCCAGTTACTAGGGACGGAGAGCTTGAGCAGGGTACGGGAGAAGTTCATACTTGCAGTGCAACCCTTTTCTCTGCTGTTGCTCAGCTTGCTTGTCGCCGTCACTGCTCCCAGTGTGCTGAGAATGGGCGTTTTTAATCTGATCCAGAGAGCAGTGAGGGAGGGAGCCTCTGTGTTGGTCTTGAGCACCTCCAGCGCTTCCAGAGTTTCTGTGGGCAAGAGAGAGCAGAGAGCACATGGACTCCTGGGCAGAGGTTGTGTAGGAACCACTGGTTGGGACACAGCGTTCTGCACCTTGGTTTCTGTCAGAGTAGTGGGATGCATTGTTCTCAACATGTTTCCAGTCTCCTATTATAGTAGCAGTTGCCATTATATTGAGCTTTAATACAACTTGATAGAACAAAACAGCCAGTAAAATGCCTTTGGTTTCCTGTATGCCGTAGTACTTGGGAAGCGTGACTTTGGTGTCCTCTCATCAATTTTCTTTGTGCACTGGCACAAATGGGCTGTATATTAACGTTAGCTGCTGTCTGGCAGACATGTGATGATCTGACTTTTAATGCTTTTTTCACCTCAAGGGCTGCTGAGAAGTGACTCTATACCTGAGGTTGGAGAGGATGCTGCTGCTACAGTTGGTATGGCAGAAACACTCTCAGAAGAAGAACAGGATGAGCTAAGAAAAGAGCTTGCTAAGGTAAATCTCTTGCAAATAGCTCTTAAACTGGTTTTGAGAATGAAAATCTGGGATAATGCTGTCTTTGAACATATAGTTAATGCTTTGCATATTTTTTTCTGTGAGTGTGTAAAGCTGGGTATGGCAGTCCTGTGTATTGTGGGGAGGGAAAGGGAAGGTGTCAAGGAGAAAAGAACAGCCAGTTCTAGCTATGAGGAATTAAGCTAGAAGTGCTGATTGTAGAGATCTTAAACCAGGATGCATAAATGCCTAACCCTTTTTTTCCTCAAGTGAGAAGGGGGTAAATAAGCTGTCAAAGAGAACATGGTTGGAAGCCAAAACCAAGTGTTATCTCAACTGGTGTGGAGTAACTAAAGCTGTTGTTTTCATGAAGGATGCTTTGTAGTAATATCTATGTAGATACTGTTCTGCTAATGTCTAACCATGTAACTGTTCTTGTCCATAGTTCATACAGCAGAACTTTTAAGAGTGAGTTGACGTAGTGCTCTTCGAAGGACAGTCGAATATTCAAGCCTGATACCTGCGTTTCAAAAGTTGTCACAGTTAAGCTTTACTGAGTTGCCAGTCTTTTTTTTTTTTTTTTTTTTTTTTTTTTTTTTTTGTAGCTCTGTGTGACTTTAGGACCCTAATAAAAGGCACTAATTTAAGCCTAAGGTTAGCTGTGAAATAAGCACATTTAATGCAGTCTTGGTTTTGGTAGTCCTGAGTATTACTTCATGCCAAACCAATCAGCTGAAGATGGTGAGGGAAATCTGGTCCTGCTAGGGTCCATCACACTGGACTTTGGACAGGTATCCAAAACAAAGGTGCATTTTAAATATTGGTATTTCCTCAAAGGACCTTAAATGAGTGGGCAGCCTGATACTCTAAAGTAGGGTGGTCCAGTCTGGATGAGGAAGTAGAGTTGGATGTATTCCTTCGCCTTTGTACATATGGCCTTAGTGCCTCTGTCACATCTATATAGCCCACAGAATGGCATCGTAAAACTGTTTTAACGTCTCTGATTATGACCTGGTTGTGCTTCTGTGAGAGGATTAAGTGAACATCTGTGTAAAGATGGAAGTATACAAACAATACAGTTTTCTAGTTGCTGAACAGGTGCTGTGTTTTTGGGGGGTTGGGGTTGTTTTTTTTTTTTTGCTCTGGGGAAGGCAATCCTGTGGCTGGATCCAGCCTGCAGTTGATGGCTTAAGCCACAAAAGAACCTTTCTGTTCAAGCAAGGCAACAAAACTTGTGTATGGATCAGACATGCTCTGAGCTTCCTGATACTCGTCATACATTGGTATCTCTTCTGACGTGGAAGGAGAATACAGGCTTGGCTCTTGTCCCAGGTTTGACTAATCTTCAAGCTTCACATAGGCTTAATGTTGTCTAAAGGTAATGATTTCTAACTATGCAGTCTTTTACTTACCAACTTCCTTGTGCGTATTCCAGTAACAGAGCTAGCTGCAGGTAGATTACCTTCTCACTAGCTCTTGTTGTAGATGATGTTGGATTTCCCTTTCAGTATTTAGAAACAACTGTGAGGCAATGTTAAAAATGTGTTAGCCCTCCCATTACTGGTGCCTAGTAGATGTTTTAATAAATACATAGTTAAGTGGCTGGGTATATTGCTTGTTAACTTGCATCTCATCAACTCTGCTGCCACAGGTGGAAGAGGAAATCCAGACGCTCTCACAAGTGCTAGCTGCCAAAGAGAAGCATCTAGCAGAAATCAAGAGAAAGTTGGGAATTAACTCATTACAGGAACTAAGGCAGAACATTACCAAAAGCTGGCAAGATGTTACATCAACCACAGCGTATGTACCAGTTCATGATGATTGTCTCAGCTGTTGAGGTGAAAACTATGTAGTTCTTGTGTCATGTCTAAATCCCGTTCTTGTGAAATGAGATGAGTGTAGATAACACAAAGTTAAGTTGCAGTAAACCTTATCTGGATAAATCATCATAGATTTCTTTAGCTGTATCATCTCATGCACAATAAGAATGATTGACCATAATATGGGTGATTCTAATACACTTTTTGTCTGACAGATCTGAGATACCGTTACTGAGATACCAAAGTGTCCTAAGTCCACGAGAATACCCTTCTTTTCCAGTCTGAAAAATTGTTGTAAAGTGAGCTTGTGCAGGAAGAGTGCAAAGTCAGAGTTAATGTTCTTGCCAAACACAGCTGTTAGCTTAAGGTCTAGAGTGAGCTGCCTTCTGCAATTAATGACTACACAGAATGTAAGAGGATGTACCTCAAATTTTTTATGGTGAAGTTTATTGACAAAACTATTTGGTACAAGATTTTAGACGCTTGGCACAAAAAATAGACCTCTGTTCTTTTTCAGTGGGTGTGCATGGTGTTGTTTTCATGGGGTTTTTGTTTTGGTTGGTGGTGGTTTGGTGGTGGTTTGTTTTTTGGTTGGGTTTTTTTTTTTTTTTTGAGGTCCTACAATAGCAGATAGTATCTGTTCTGAGGGTTGGTTAGTAGGTGCATGTTGGTGAACCTGGTCTGAAGTCTGAGGTGGCAGAGATGCTGTAGCCAGATGGGACTGCAAGGCTCAAGATAATCTCTTGAATAGCTTGTTCATTTGACCCCAGAATTGAAGTATGCCTCTGGGTTTGATACAAATTTACATATGCTAACAGGTTCCTTATGTGTTCTGTTAAAATAACTACAGACTTAATTTTGTTTGAACACAGATACAAGAAAACATCAGAAACACTGTCTCAGGCTGGTCAGAAGGCTTCTGCTGCTTTTTCATCTGTTGGTTCAGTCATAACGAAGAAGTTTGAAGATGTCAGGTAGGTTTCTTTAGCTTTTTCCAAATAGTTGCATTTTTGATTTAAGCAGGTGATCACTGAAATAAATTTATGCTGTTAACCACTGAAATAAATTTATGCTGTTAATGTACATAGCAGTTCTAAAAGTCTGTCAAGAACCCTTAGTATCAGTTTTAGGAGAGCTGAGTGACTTGCTGCAAAATTGGCTTGTATGTCCTCACTGATGCAGAAGAGTTCTGTGGTGTGTGTATTTTATATATGCAAGAGAAGCAACGTATGCTATTACCTTCACTGCTACTCTTATTTTTCTGGTAGGATTGCAGGTGGCTGTGTCTCTGCCTGCCTCTGTGTGATGCTCTAGCATTGTCATTTCTGTTCTGACTTTCTCAGCTTGTGGAGTGCTACATTTAAACTACTAATGTCTTTAACTGTTTGTGGTTTGGTTGGGTTGTTCGCTGTTTTTGTGTTGTGGTTTCCTTTCAGGAGTGTTTTATTTCTTTGTAAGCTGTTCTACCTCATAGCAGTGGCTTGATTTTATTACCTTTTTAAGGGACTATTGGCACTTTTAAATTCTCAAATATTGGCATACAATGTATTTTGACTTTGTGTTAAGTGACACAGCCCTTCATGCAAATTAGGTAAGTTTGGTGGTCATTTTTAGCACTATTGTAAGCTGCATGCAAAACTCTTCCTGGACGCAATCCAGTCACATGCTTAGCTTACAATTATTTGTTTGATTTACTACTGGAACAGGTACAGCTATTCAGCTGTGCTTGTAATTTGTGGTGGATAGTGGATCAAACTTATTTTTCAGTTATTGGACAAGTAAAAATTCACACACTCTAACAGAATATTGCTGCATTGGAAAGCAGTGTAATAAAATCAGCCCTCTGTTTTAAAGTGCTGCCATTAACCTCTTTCTTGCTTTTTGAAGTCTAGTGAGAAAACACTTTGAGGTGCAGCTACATAGTTACATATTTTTCTTCAGATTTATCAGAACTTCCTTTCTCTCTTTAATGCTTACTCGGCATTGTGCAGACTACAGGCATTTTCACATTCCTTTAGGTAAGGTGGGCGCAAGAATTGTTTCTGAAACTAAGCATGTAGTCAGACTGTCTCCATTAAAATTTTTAAATAAGTTTTGTCTGTAAAAGGTAATTTCTTTTTTTCTCCAGTGTTAGTTACTGTAAAACTGAAGCTCTTTTAAATGTCACGGAAGTTGTTTCTTCATGTTCACCTGGTAACTGTCCCAGAACATGAAATCTTGAGAATACATAATAATCAATTAGTCTCTCTTCCTTGTAAGAAAGGAATCTGTTAAAATGATTCTGCAAGGTGGGTTTTTTTGGGTTTGGTTTTTTTTTTTTTTTAGACAGACAGAATATGGTTTTGAGGTCAATGGCATGCAGAATTCCTCCTTCTCTTTGTCTGTACAGTGTTTGTGCCTTGAACAGAGTAGAAATTTTCCTTTTTCTGTGTCTATTACAATAGCTGTTTAGCATTGTGACTCTAATCAAATCATGAGAGTCTAAATGGAAAATAGTTTATGCATTTTCTGTTCATAGTTTGTCCAGTGAAACAGTTCTTATCTTTGAGTTGATTACTTCAGCAGCTCCAGACACTGAGTATTTTAGTTACTTTGTCTGCATTACATTTTATCTGCCTAGTCTAAGCAAATATTCAGTGTTAAGTTTTGAGTAGTTAAAATTCCTGTGTAGCAACTTCTGTCCATTGCCTCTCATCCCGTCTGTGCACACCTCTGAGTCTGGCTTCATCTTTTCTGTACTCTTCCACTAAGTAGCTAAAGACAGCAGCAGGATCTCTATAAAGATGTAGGGATCTGGCTCCTAGAATACTAATTAGGAGCTATAGCCCCAGGGGCAGTGCCTGGGGGGGGAGATGGGCAGCAGAACAGGACACTATGAGAACTCAGACTATGAAGTGAGCTCAGTTTGCTCAAGTACAAGAATAGCAGCCTGTCTGAAATGCCTCCCCTTTAGCATCAGTAAGACAAAGGGAGCCTGGAAGATGTCTCTATACCTTCTGGATGCAGAGCTCTGCTACTTACTTAACAGGGTTAACCTTTCTTCCTTAAGGCTATGGTGTTCCCTTCCTAGTATTAGACTGTTGCATTTGACAAGGACAAGCACAAACGCATAGCTTTCTTCTGGCTTCAGGAATTTAGTACCTCAAAAGAAGTGCGTCCTAATTACTCAAGTTAGTGGCTGGGTGGGTGTTGAGTACTCTCTATCAGAAACTGGGCCACTGGGAGGGAATGTAACAGGGCCAAATTTGTCCATGCTGCTGGTGTGCTTCCTGAGGAGAATCACGGCAATGGAAATTCAAGGTATAGTTATAAGTTCAGGAGCAGCTGGGTTTAAAAACAAAAAAAAGTGGGAAGAATTAGTGCTGTTCAAGATCTTAGTTGCACTTAAACAGAAGATTAAAAACCTTTGAGTTTTTCGCTTTCATGAAGACCAAGTTCATCTGGGATTCAACCAGTGAATTCAGGTCCCAGGGTTACATGACTACTCAAGTGGTGTCTACTTTTAAGACTGCACAAGTCTGAACTTTAGGAAGTCTTAGATGCCCAAGTTCTTTCCTGGAAATGAGAATTGATGGGCCTGATACATACTTGAACAAATACTGAATATGCAGGTGGATTTTTATTCTTAAACTCTTAAGAGGCTTCTTCATCGAGGCTTTGCTTTTCTTGTACTGTTTTAGCTTAGGGACTTCTCAGCTGTAACAGCACGATTTCTTCTGTGTTGGACTATTTCCACATGTCCCATGCAGCAAACATCACATGCAGGTCTTCATTCTTGCACTGCAAAGTGATTTTGGATGGAGTTGTGAAAGGGAGTAAGGCAGCTGGTAGAGCTGTGGACCTGGAAAGTACTGAAATAGAAAGGAAGAGAGAGGACTGGTAGTGTGAAGTCAGTGCATTATTGCTTCCTTTTTGCGGCTTGGTTTTTTTTTTTTTTTTTCTTTCCCCTCTGCATTTTGTTATGCTGAAAATGAACTCTGTTCCTTCTTAGGTTTCTCTTAATTCCTTTACTCTCCTTTATAAGAACGTCTTGAACTCTTGATGAGCTGCCATCCTTGTGTAGGCAACATCAGTATTATGTGCAAAACAGCAGTAGTACCAAGATGTAGCTCTGGGCAAACTTCCTGAGCAATCATGACTTTGCACTTAGCTCCTCTTGCACTCCATCCATCTTATGGAGCAGAAGTCCTCATCTTTGCCCTGTTCTGAGATTGCAAAATAACTTTGCTTGGTTTGGAAATCTGATATTATCATGGACTCATGGATCACCGTTTATTGGCGTATCAGCTGGAAACCTAACTATTAACAAAAGTCAATAACTAGTGCTTATGCACTCTTAAGCCTGTGTTTTCCAGGCAGGGACTCTGGCATACCTCCTTGTGCATTTTCAAAATCGGAGGCAATGTGGTAGCTATAAAAATAGTGTGAAGGGTAAGAAAGCTTTTAATGCAATACAAAATACATGGAAGGCTGGAGAGCAACTTACTGTGCCTTTTTTTTTTTTTGTTTTGTTATTTTTTTTAAAGCTAGGGGTTTGCTTGTGAGCATTGTAAAAAGGGCTTCTCTTCTTCAAACTGCCGAACTTGATGGCCTAGTTGAGTGAATTGTTTGATGTGGCATTCTGTCATTTGTGAGAAGAAATACAAGTTCTCTTCTTTGTAAAGTTTTTCAAGGCTTAATCGTGCTTCTTTGCATTACTTGAAGAACAGGTGATTTGATGTTAAAAGATGATCAACTGCACTTACCTAATCCAGTTCTCTTGCAAACCAGATTGTTCTGTGATAAAACTATGTACTATCTTACGGTGACATTTTACAAAATGGATACTGAGTATATGTAAGTGTATTGTACAACAGCAACTAAATCCTTCATGAATGTACGAATAGTTCTTCCATTAAATGATCTCTGTGAGATTAAACTAAACTCCCCTAGATGCCTGTTAAAAGATCTGCAATACACTGTAGGTTGTTGCTTTTCAGTGTGAGCAGGTCTACAGACTGTAAATATATATGGGGAAAAGAAGGTAACTTTCACCCTCTTTAGCCTTAAACTTCTTGCAGGGAGGCACTTCCTGCAGCATAAGGGGAAGTGGCTGAGCATGACTGGCCAAAGAGAACTAGTTAGTATCAGCCTGTTTAGTTCTGGACTAAAACTTGGCACATAGCAAGACCAGAACTTATAGTAATCCACATCACAGAGCGAGGAATATAAATCACACTCCAGAAGACAATCAACTTCTATGTACTCTGGAAAAGGTTGTGGAAGCCAAACCGTCTGTGAAGATGAAACACAGCAGAATTGGGGTTGGGGAAAGGGATGAAACATGGCCACACATTACTGACATGTGTCAGAAAAACATCTGGCCTTTTCGTATCTGATTCCCAGCACGCTGCACCTACAAAATGACCTTCAGTTGTGCATCTACCTTAAGGGATCCCAACCTTAAGGGAACTTTTTACATGTGTAGTATTTTTTCTATCACTGTATTCTGCTGATGAGCCTTCCAAAACAATCTCTTAAAACTTGTTCTGCAATGAATTCGTAACGTTTTTCCTTCTGTGAATGTATTTCCCATTGTGCTGAAATACTAACTGGAGTTTTGGAGGTGCTCAAATGTGAGAGATTTCGCCCCCACGCAAATTGCCTGGAAAGTATTCTCTTGAAAGACATCGTAAAGCCCAGTCAAAATTTGACATTCCAAATATAGTTACGAAAAACTGTGATCATCTGTTCTAACTTACTGTTATGGTGTTTGACAAGAAACATTTCACATATAAGACTGAATTGTATGAAGAGTAAACAGGGATTTTTCTAGAATATCTAACTAAATTAGATTCCAGATGGTCTTGAAGTTATTTGGAAGCTCCTTAATCTGTATCCAGTCACCTTTGGTTTAGTGGTGGACTTGGTAGTGTTAGGTTAATGGTTGGACTTGATGATCTTAAAGGTCTTTTCCAACCTAAATGATTCTATGATTCTATGACCTTCTAGGAGTAGGTGTGTGTTGTCACTAAACAAACAGTAACCGTATAGCAACACTGGCAGGTTACAGAAATCCTCCATGAATTTCAGAACCAGGTTGAGACTAGGACTTCCCCCTGCCCCAAGCATAAACCTGACCTTGAATACGGATTGATGTGACTGCTCCTGCTAGATAATCTATATTGATGAGTAGATAATTTGTATTGATGAGTATGGAAATCTTACACTGAATTGAAATGGAAGCTTTCTGAATGTAGGAATAATTCTTTCAGTAGGGAGATTAGTTGACTGATAAGACTCTTGAGTGCTCACTTTCTACTTGATATTGTCAAAACTGTAAATGCAGCATGTCTCTCATTTGCTTGAGAAACTTAAGTAGACAGACTGTTGCAGCTGGGCAGAATATGTACTAACAAGCATGGCACTTGAATCTTTCTAAGGAAAAAAGTTGTTGCAGCTTTTGCTCTCTGCGTGTGTGCGTGCATGGCTAAGCAATTTTAAAAAGCAAAACCAAGCAGTTACTATACAAGACTATAAGACTGTTTGCCTGTTTACCAAAGATTGTATCTAGAAGTCAGCTCTCTAAGCCAGTTTCTTCTCAGTCTATCACTTAAACTAACTTCTCGCTTTCTTTTTTCTTAATGCTGGCATTTAGTATACGCTCCATACAACACTCAATTAGCATGCCTATTATGAGGTAATGTATGCATAATCCAGCTGTTGGATTTATTTATTTTCATGTGTGGAATCAAGTCACATTGAACTTAAGTCAACTAACAGATTTAAAACAAAACCAAAAAACCCACCCAACTTTGTAATGGATTTCCTGTACTAACATGTATGATAAAATTTGTTTTATTCTGCGTAATGGTGGTGGTTATCGCACATCTGGAATGTGACCAAGTGCACTTTCCTGCTGTTTGGAGAACTATAACAACTTTTCCCTGCCTGTTAGAAATTTAATGCTACTAAATGATTCCAAGTTTAAAAGGCAATAGCTTGGCATCTGGTTTAGAACAATGAAAGTGAGTAAAAAATACTGCGGTTTCACAAAAAGTCTCTTGCTGACTTGGAGTGCTTGCCTTTTCTCTCCCCTTGCTTGGCACTGTCCCTTCATCTCCTGAGAGAGTCTGGTTTGATATATATATATGTCAATGTGTGCTTTCCCAGATGAAAGAGTGCTGCTAAGTGTGTGGGTGACCTACACAAATACCAAGCAAAGGGGGAAGGGAAGCTTAAGACCTCTTTTGAAAAAACCCTCCTGTCTTTCATCTGTATATAATATTTTTGAGTCTGCTACAAATCCTTAGTCCTGGTCCACTGAAGGCAAGCATTTTCCATCCTGCACAAAGGCAGAAAAGGTGTACAAGCTATTGCACAAATTTGCAAATGGCAGTGACAGCTAGTTGGAGCATTAAACCACTCTTCTGACCCTAATAAATAATATACTGGCCCTCAGCATTGAAAACCCCGAGCTGTCTTCCTCTTCATATGCAGAGCTTACCATTTGTAATCACAGCTGTCTCCAGCACTTAAAAGGCAAAGGAGATTCTCCCTTAAATTTAACATGTTAGCAGAAAATGCCACTATGAACCATGTTTTGTTAATTGAACATAGAGCCTATTAAATTAGTTTTCCTATAGCAAGTGAAAAAACTCTGACAAGCTTACAAGCTTTCTTCAGCAATAATGTACTAGGCTAACCAGAAGCGATGAGTAAGCTTTTCTGAACAAATCCTTTAAGCCAGGAACCTGTTTGAAATCACTGGGAATAAGCTAAACGTAAAATACTGGCTAGTCCTCCCTTCCTTGTTGTGATGAAAGATCCTATTGCTGAGCTTGGCAATGCTTAGTTGCCAAAGATACAAATGAGCTGCAACTTGAGTGTGTTAGAATTTTAGTTTTGTAGTACTTAGGGACATCCAGATCTAAACTATTTTTAGGCTACCCTGAAAACAAGGGAAGAGCCCCAAACAAACAAAACTCATGTTGACATTGGAAAAAGCAACCGTCTGCTTGTTTTCTGGTATTTATAGACTAACCAGATATGTTTTTAATTCTGTGGTTCCTTTTTTTATTTTCCTAGAAATTCTCCTACTTTCAAATCCTTTGAGGAAAAAGTTGAAAACTTAAAGGTAAGCATTACTACAACACCTTGGTGATTTTGGAGCGGTGGATGTGGAGAAAAGACTAAGTGGACTCTGGGTAGCCTGGTTTTTAGTTATTGGTAAACTGTTGAAGGTGCTTAGATGACATCTTTTTAAGTACTGTGGAAATTGTTTCTCTGCCTAATGATCTGAGAATAAAAAAAAGGGGCTTCCTGCACCTCTTACAGGAGGATGCCTTTAACTAGGATGACTAACAGCTAGCTAACCTGCACAAACAGCTAGTATAACCTACCTAGCATTATGTATCTAAAATGCTCTAGGCTTTTATTTCCATGCCTTCCTAAGGACTGGTATCTTACACAGGAGTATAGCTTGGAATGTTTCTCATATTTCTGGCATAAAATACACAAGGTCTTTGTACCTTAATTTAAAATTTACTCACAAAAGCCTCAAGTGCCAGAAACAACCATTAATAGCTCTCCAGGTAAAAAATCACTTTAAAAATAACTAATACATGTAACTGGAACCAGATTTGACTGTTGTCCTAGGCACACTGGGTTCGAAGAGAAGCATGCAAGTGATAGCATGGGGAACTAGACATTCCCTTGCAAACTAATTGGCATTAACGCTCCTGCCATGCCACAGGGTATATATACTGTAGAGGGATGTGAAAAGGCAAACACGTTATCTGGAGAAAGTAAAATAGTTACTATGCTCCACTGAAGATCTCCAGAACTGCTGCCGAGACTGAAAACTGGTCAAGGTTTGTTCTTGAGCACTACGGAAGCGAGTTTTAACTCTGAATTTTTGAAAGCTTAAATGGCTTGAAAGGCTGCATACCTGTATCCATTTTTAACTGAGGGTGTGTCAACCTTCAGACACCCTGGAATCAGGGCTGCTTCATGCTTTGTGTATCTCAAAGTCAAAGGGACGCCGCTATGTTCATCTGCTGCTGGTGACTGCTTTCTGCATGATACTTCGACTTGTCTTTAGAGTATTGTGGAGGTAGCCCAGTCCTGAAAAAGCTGCTCTGCTGAAAAGAGTTATTAAACTTTTTCAAGCAGGGGTACGGGGTTTTATCCAGTTAACCATGTTTGGCATGCCAAATAACTGCAATCTTATGCTGAGGCTCTGTCTATGTTCTAGTCTAAAGTCGGAGGAAGCAAACCTGCTGGGGGAGACTTTGGAGAAGTTCTCAACTCTGCTGCCAATGCCAGTGCCACAGAAACTATTGCAGAACAGACACAGGAGGAGACCCACTGAGATTCCTGCCTCTGTCCTGCTACCCACTGCCAGATGCTGCAAGCAAAAACTAAGCACACTTGTAACATTCTTTGCGCTCTTTCCACCAGATGTGCTTTTATTTAGCACGTAGTTATTTTACCAGATTAACTGATACTGAGCTTGTTCGTGGGTTCAAAATATTTTTGAAACTAAAATACATTGTTTGGGGTTTTGTGTGGGAAGGGGAATTTTTAGCCTTTCAAGCATTTAAAGGACTTATCTGTAATTTGAAGGCAACCTTTAAAATATAGCAATGAAAAAAAACTCTTGAGAAGTTAATTATACTGTACATATACTGTGGATACGTAATTACTTTTGAATCTGTAACTACTGCTCAACTTGATCGTTATGAATTTACTGCTGCTGCCGAACTGAAGCTTGTTACTTCACTCCCTTGTGATTCTTTCAGTTAAGTGTTGCCTGCACAGGACACCAGACTAGGAGGATCGCTCCCAGCTAAAGAAAGGACTTCTGCTTCAATGGGCTTTAAACAACTTATTCATAGCAGGATTACACATGGGTAGGAACGTACTGTCTTACGAGTGTGTTCCTCACACAACAGATGTGGATACAGTAATATGTAACATCAAAAGCTTATTGATTTGTCTGTGGATTATCCACCTAGGAAACTTCTGACCATCACAGATGGAAGCAGGATGCCTAGTAGTGCTGGTTTGGTTCAGTTACAATAACATTTTCAGTCTTGTTTTTTGTACATGATGTTAATGTGGTATACTCTGCTAAACTTTTGATCAGTCGTGAATAGATTAATCTTATTTCACACATGGTGGTGTCACATTTACACTAACAAAGCATGGACTGTAAGAATAAGCCTGAAGACGAAAGTGGTTCTTTTTTAGGCATCAAGAGAACAGCTCTCAAATGCTAATGTTGTTTCTCTTGTAGGCTCACTATCGAAAACATCTGCTACACTCTTACCTTTTTTTTTTTACGTGTTAAAGTCCTGTACTGCTGGCATCCCTATTCCTGTTTAAGACCCCAGAAATCTGTTTCGAGAGGTGCACAGTGTCATACCGCAGCATAGCTCTCTTAACAAGATCTGTTCTCCTACATGTTGCTTTATCTGATGTACTCTTCAAATTTCTTGTTTTGTATGTTTCTAGCACATGGTGTCGGTATGGTTAGAACTTTTGGTGAGTGTTTTATCACCATGGTTAGAACTGGAAACAAGTTTTGAAACATTTTGTGTGAAATCCATGAAACTTTTTCTTCCAGACACCTGTGGCAATTGAAAAGTTGGCTCCTGACAACCTTGTTAGCATGTCAGATGTAGTATATATGCTTAATTATGTGTGAGAACCTTAATAAAAACCTGTATGTGAGGAATGCATTGTCCTGTGAATATGGAGGATTATATAAATAAGAAATTTTTATTTCTAATTGAAACAGTCCTTTAAGTTTGGTTTCAAAGTAGTGCTGTTATATACTACTGTACTAGGGGGAATCTGCATGGATGAGCTTGGCATTTCTAGAGAAGACTAGGCCTAGGTTGTCTTCTAAACTGCTGTTTAAATGGGTTGAGATGTACCCTCAGTGTGGCAGCTGCACCTTAATGAAGGAGTGGAGAACTGAATGACACAGCGGGAGTGGAGCTCTCCCTCTATGGGGTCGACACTGTGTAGGGCAGGTCCTTGGAGAACATGATCCTTGTCTTACGGGTTCTTTTTTTATCAGAAGGGTCACCTAGTCCAGAGCTGGGCTTTCTGGGTTATGAATGAAGATAGTGGTTTTTGGTTTTTTTTTTTTTAAGGCCAAATGGCTGCATCGTTGGGTCTGCAACACATCGCACTCAGCTTTGCAGCTGCAGCCGCATCCTCCTCTGCCTGCACCCCCCCCTGCACTGCAAGTAGCCCGAGGGTGGCCGTTGCAATTTAGGATTTACTTGCAGGGGTGTGCGCATTAACGTCGCGGCCGGCATCCATCTCCCGCTCCCTGAGGCAGGGCAGCCGCCCATCTCCCGCTCCCTGAGGCAGGGCAGC